TGAAGTACACAACGAAACTAAATTGGCGAATAAATTCATCATCTGTATGAGCGACTTTGTTTACGACACTTTGCTAACTCAGCAGCCTGAAGCGACCCATATTTCTGACTTCTGTGGTCAGTATTTATGTCTCCATGGTCTTCGGTTGCGCACCCTTGAATTTCTTCCACCTAGTGCCCGTCTCGACAAACATCGCACACCGAAATAGCCCATATGTTGAAATTTGTTAAACCTTCCTAAACCATTCAAATCAATGAAGATCAAACATTTACCGCAGTACATAACTTAGTTTATCCTATACTTTTCTCCTAACCTTGTTATTGCGTATCCGGTTGCGAGCGTCGTGGCGAAGTAAGCAAAGTTCATCCAACAATAGCCTGCTTTTATCCCGTAACGGCCCTATCTCAGCACCACGCAGTTGGGAAATGCATTACCTAATATCATAAGTTTTCTGGATAACAATCTGGAGTCCTTATCACGGAAGATAGGTTTTCTCATAAATCAAAGGTGGTGGAACACTGTATGATAGTTCCCCCAGCTGAATGTTTGCAGGTATTGAAAGCGGTCAAATAAGCTTTTTGTCTGCGCTGCATCAACTTTGGGTTCTGGTGAGAGGATCATGATATACTAGTCCGTATGGAACGACCGAAACGGGAATTATGCAGGGTCTCCGTCACGGCCACTCCTCTTCTGCCGTGGAATAGTAGTTGTAGTAGTGTCTGCCCAGTTTAGGTCTAAAGTGATGCCCGTACGCCAATGGACAACGGGATATTGGTGTGCTTATCGTTGGATTAACACCTCTAAAATCCCCTTCAGCGTTCCATATGTGCGTCTCACAAGTCTGCTGCCTTTGGTGCGATATGGAGTTATTCGTGTTTTCCCAAGGAAGAAGATACTTTAAAATGTCGCATGTAGTTACATGTGGATTTCGTATGGCCTACATCGTTAAGATAACCCTTAGATGTAGATGCTGTTCGCCATGTTTCACTCATTGCGATTGATGGTTGGCATTGCTTCTCACTATCTAGTGAAATACCTCACCATAAGAATGCATTGATTGCCTGATCACCTTGAAAATACAGGAATTTATTGTATGGAGTGGTACGCTTATGTAATGTCCTTCTTTGTTAACCCTCTTTCAGTAAAAGCTGGTGACATCACGTCACATGTGCGCCGTTCTGTACCCTATATTTTGACAAAATATAGAAAATCGGTTCGCGTAACTCGGGTGACCCGAATTCCATTTCGCCTTTTCGCCGAGCTTGACAATTTGTTTGCAAATGTTTCATCACCAGCCGAGGTGACATCATCAGTGTGAAGTGGCCACTTCACCTCGGCTGGTGATGAAACGTTTGCAAACAAATTGCCAAGCTCGGCGAACAGGCGAAATGGAACCCTACATTTTATTCTAGCTCAAGCGTTTCAGCTCTTCATGGAGTCTTGTCGGGACTTTGTTTACATCCAACCCTGGTTCAAGAATTTTTGTATATATTGCTCCTGGTTCCGAAAAAACCGATTTCTCTACACACTGTTTTTAGGTTTTGCCTCATGCTTCACGAGTGAAATAGCTCAAACGGGTCATTTCTTCTGTAGATAGTCGCGTTCCTTAGTTTGTTTGCTGCATGCACAATAAACGTAGGTTAGAATCAGTAGATTGAAATCTGATCAATAAGCGATCTTCGGTGCTTGCGAGGAGGTGAACGTTTCTGATTAGATGTAGGACAGGAATTCGACGAATTTGCATGTGGGTTTTCGAGATAGTCCGCCTACATTACCATGATATAGCCCGGTATATTTTTTTTGATGAAGGGATACTTTTTGAGAGTTCATTGACAGTGTGCTAACTGGTCTGTATAGTTCTTTATGTTTGGTGCCCGTGGGATATTTGTGGCCCATACAGAGCAAGAAATTCCTTCAAAGGGTACTACTGATAGCATTTGCTGTGTGTTCTGCAATGGGTTCGCTCACGCGCATGTCGGGGACGACTGTAGAATGCAATGACTCTTACTGCAGAGCTTGGTTGTCGTAATGAAAATAATTGTCCCAGTGGCGTTGTCCCTGGAGATTTTGTTCAGCGTGAGTGCCTAAATAGGTGACGGATACTACAGGATTGGCTCTGTGAGCAGTCTTCGGCGGAGTTCTAGAAATTCATCGTGACACGCACTTGCATTTCGTGTTATCTGGCCTGATCGCTTCAATGTAAGAATCAAGCTGTAATGCAACAGTATATGGTCCAGCGGCTAAGGTCACCGTTCCCGAGACTCAGAGGTGGTGAGTACAAGTTCCGACATTGATGCCTATCATTCCCGTTTCTATATTTCCCTAGACAGCCATAAATTGACCGCACCCCCGTTCCTAAACATTGATTGTAACAAAATGCGTTCAACGATTAAAAGGAAGTAAAAAGGTTATTATTATCAATAAAGAATTGTGTTTTAAACAAGTAAAGCATGCAAAGAAAACCATAAAACCACCCTACCGAACAACAGTTGGCACTTTATAAGAAAGCTTTCGCCTCGCTGATTGATGAAAAAGAATGGGGTTATCCTTTAATCCCAAATAATGGATGATCGGCCTTGAGAATATGTAATTTTACAAATTTCTTATCTGGTACTTTAGCTAACCAACTTTCAGTTGCGCTTCATGTTGGAGTAGTATGTGAGCAAATGATGGATGTATGGTTAACGCTAGAATGGTACTTGCAATAATCAAAATAGAACCGGATTTCTGTAAATAACTTTTAAGATTGGCAATGGTGCAATCGATCAGCATTCAATCAACGGACCAATACGCTGTACTCCTTTTGAACAATTCACTGTAATTGTCTGTTATTTTTTACCACGTTCAGGGTAGTGCTGTGAAAGGTGTTCTGGAAACCACAATTTATTTCTAGAGTACCCCTAAACTGAATGGGCTCATCTTAAACTACATCTCCCGTTTCTTGAAACGCTGGTTTATGTATATTTCTGTTGTTCAGGGCTTGCTGTTCAGTTATGTTCTATCAAATTTAAATGACTCTTAATTGATATCAACCAATAATATCACAAATATTGCTAGTGGATATTCAGGGATTCTTCTCAAGGTCACCCCTAAAATGTACGACTTATGAAGTCAATTAGGGACTTTTTTCTATCATAAAGACTATTGTTCCTAGGTTTGTTTGACACAGGCGCTCATGAAATGTAATGCAATAATATAATGCGGCACTGTTGGTCAATTGACCAAGATCATCAGTTAGCCGATCTATAGCTTAAGTTCGAACCCCACAACCACCGCCCACGTTCCACATTTCTGTGATTCCCAGGTAGTATTAGTATGGCCACAATTCCCTTCCTGAAAGTTTACTGTTCATTTTGATACTCAATTAGCAACATAGAGAGTAAAAGACATTTAAAGAAAGCAAAAGCAGTTATAAGAATAGCAGTATTTTCCGAAAATTAAAAAAGCGTTCGTTGCACATTTTTGGATTGGAGCTTGCCGGTATGAAATACTCGCCTCAAAGGGGTGGTGTGCCTGAGAGAAAGCATCCATACGCACCAATCATTCACACTTAAATGTTTTTATCGCCAGTTAACAAAATGATGGCCACAGCATGCCTATAAACCGCTCGCTGATTTACCCAATGTTAAGCTAAAAGGAGGAACCTTCAACGAATCTACAAGTGATGAAATATGATACATTGGGTTTACCCCCGAGAACTAGTCGTGAATCGTACCCTTTGGCAATGTTCATCCCTACCGTTTCAAAAGATGGCCGCCAGAAACCGTTGTGTAACGTTGCCCCACATGGTTAATGTGACAATGAGCAATCCTGATGGGAACTGCGCTCATAAGAGCCACGTTGGGCTGCATTCTTGTCACTAAGCATAAGTCATTCGATCAATTGTACAGTTTATTTGTCACTGTTTTGGGCTTTATTGGTAATCGAGATGTGTTACTTGCGTTTTCCATTGTTAATGACTTCAGTTATTTATGGCACACTAGATGAATCACACAGTAGACACCGTTGCTTACAGTTATCTTGTAACCACTGAAATACCAAGACCTCTGTTGTGATTTTCCGCAACACGCAACCGCAGACATATGAGGGAGGTAATTAATTGAAAGTTAACGTGGTTTAGGTTCATTCGCGTCAAGTTATACACATGCATGATACTGACCTAAAATACTCCACTACCCTTGACAAAATTGTAAAAAAACGTAAGGCCTAATAAACATGCGTGATATTCGACATAGCTTTCTGATGTTCTTTATGACGAGCTTTTAAATATTACACCTACAAATCACAAAAACGCTGTTTAATTATTTGCTTATTTACTCGTTTTTTCGTCATGGAATTTCCGGAGGTATTGGCTTGCAGTGTCACAATTACACCGTTATTAAAAATATATTTCGCTTTGTTTCTGCTTTTTTGCTTTTAACATCTTTCACTATGCATCCTTTGATTGAACCGGAGAACGGCATTACAAAGGCTTATCGGAGAACAAACGATTCCAAGTAAAATTTTCCGGTCATGCACCCATGACTGCTCTCAAATCACTGGGATAGATCATCATTTATATGATGTTTGGTCATTCAACATGTGTTGATGATCCATTAGAGAATTAGGTATATGCGTGCAATCGATTATTCATTGGAGTATATTGAGATTGCAGGTCAGTTGGTTGTATACTAAAAGATAGTTCTGTCAATAAACTAAACACTTGTGCATTGGGTTTTGCGCACTCATTTGAACGCGCATCCTTACAGCAATGAACGGTGGTTTAGCTCCACTCATCAAGCGGACCATTAGATACGCAGTTCCAATTAGATGTCAATGAATTTCCAAAACAGTTATGAATAGTAAATTTTCAATACTCAATACATATAGCGACCTTTGTTCCGTATGAGCAAATCGAAATGTGAACAAACATAACCGTAGAAATGTTCGGTTTACCTTTTTTAAATGCACAGTGTCAGTGGAATTCATTATATCGAAATGGTATTGCCTTTTCTTTCTAGTCTGCATCCCGATTCCTACATTCACAACCGACCAAACATTCGACGAGGCTTCGGTGGGAATTACACCAGACCGAATGCATGCTTGCTTCGTACGGACTGGAATGGAAGAAGTGCTAAGGATCACACAAATCGCTCTCAGTCGTTGGAACGTACACCCGACCGATCGACTCCCTACGGTCAAATGCAAAGCGGGAAACCACCGCCACAGTCTTCACAACAACCATTTAGGACAAATGCATCAGTAGGACGTAATGGAACCTCCTCTAGACAATCCAGTCCAACAACATCCAGTGTGTCCAGTCAAAGTACCAATCCACCTCGTGTGGACAATGCAGCACAATTATCACCCAGCCCGGTTTCACGTGCATCAAAGAATACTATAACAAGACCCGGATCAAAAACGGTCACTTACTCTCTCACACCACCACTAATCACATGGCGAGAGAAAACGGCAAAAGAACTACAGTCAGACGAAAAGTTGAAGAACCTGCTTATGCAGTTACCTGCTGAACTGCTGGAGACAACTAGTATCGTTCTACTACTGATGAGTCTTGATCCGAATGAACACTACAATTGCGGTTTAGAATCCAGACTTCGTGAAGCATTCCAGCTGACCGCACCTGAACGGTCTCTCATTAGTGAGTTAAAGGAGATGAAACCAGCTCACGGATTTTCCGTAGTAGACGAGACCGGATCGGCTGCCGAACGCAAGTTAGCTCTCACCGGGTAAGTTTCNACCAGCGTGGTGTGACGACAGCTGTCCGATGACCGCTACTCTCATCATTTTCTCGTCAGTTACGCGATGGTCTGTCTTCTGCTTGCTTATCTTCGTTTTACATGGCCTCCACTTCACTCCCTTCCCACCTTTCATTCACTATCCTACCAACAACCTCCTGTACTGAACCCCACACTGTCGCTGTCTCCGGTCAGCCTGTCAACCTCACAGCAAGACTATTCGCTAGAGTTTATTTGGGTTTGCATGGTTCACTGAGTGCGTGTGTATATGTGTTTGGGTGTGAATGAGCGTGCTTGTTTGTGTGCATGAATCACTCTAATCGTCATTATTGGCCATCCGATTCTGACCCAGTAGGTTGTCATATCGATCTATCGATCTAGTGCACAGCGTTTACAGTGCAAAACTAAGTTCGATTAGGGTACGCGAGAAGACACTTGTGTGACAGACGATTATTCCTGTATGTGGTTTATCTATAGCTGCGCAACGCGCAATGTTTGGTATGCGTAGTGTGCCGGCATGCGATGCCAAACTGATCTCGTGAGTGCTTGTGTGTATTCGTGTGTATTTAATTCGATGTGCAATGACCAGAATGGAGTGTTATCAAGCGAAACAGACATAATCTGTCACACTTGCACCCATAATATCAGCCTGGCGGTAATGGTAAATAAGAAACCCGTTCGATAGGGTGTGATTCCCAAATCCTTTTGAACATCTGATTATTGTTTATCACGAACAACTAACCCCCCTGTAAGATTACGTCTTTCTTAAACTTAAGCTTGTTAGCAACTTTTACCTGGAGGTTAATACGGCTTCGTGTAGTGTGGACGTGAATCCAATTGCCTGATCCATAATGAATATCTGTGAATATGTTTGAGCAGATCAATCTAAGAGAAGTTGCTACAGTTTCGGTGAATGTATACCTTTCCATTATTTTGTTTAGGTATCAACTTTGGGATTAATAACAAAAACTAAGTAAATAACACGTAAGAAAGACAGGTATGTGGCTTAAGATGATGATTAACCAATTAAAGGGGGTGTTTAACGCAGTGTTAACGTCATGTGGATGTGGATCAAAGCCATAATCTACTAATGATGTTTACTCCCGAGGCAGTTTGCACCATTTGTATCGAAGTTTCTCGACGGTAAAGTTGAACGGTATCCACTTTACTTTTGGGTAAACGAAGTTAACTTTCTCAAGCACCAGGCATTGCCTAGCGTTTTACAGTTCTGAACCTAAGGGTTTCGACTCCCATTTGGAAAGTTTATGACTCCATTCCCGTTAGGAACATAGAAACCACTCCCTTTCTATTTGTCCATCATCATATCGCAAATGAGGTTCACTAGTGGGTACACTCACCGGATGGTAAGGGAAATTCAATCTGTTCATGAATGGTTTAACATATAGAGTCAACATTTCGGGAGGGTATTATAGTTAGAATTGCTGTGCAGCTATTTCAAGCAAGTACGTTATGGTCGGTCTTATGTGCCCACTGCCCCAGTGCAATTGGTATGATAAACTCCTAACACAAAACAAAATTAGACAGTTCCCCAGTTTATACAGTTGACGGCTTTTTACATTCAGTTTCATTGATAAAGACCGTCACGACTATTCTGGATTATCAGGATTTCTAATATTCCTCATAGGAAAAATACAAAACGAGTTATCAACGGTGAAATCGACCATGAACCTACTTTGACATACAAATACTGGGTACATGCTCTATTTCACTGAATGAAGCCCTAGAGCTATTAGTAACAACAAGACTTCTGCAACTTTTCCTCCGCTGAACATGAAACTATCTCACTGATTGTCGTAGCGCGTTTCTTATATATCAAGGTTCACTTGGGCCCCCAGGGGACCTCGGGATTATCGCACCTGATGGTTAGCGTTGAGTTGAGTTGAGTTCAGATTATAGAGAGAGAGAGAAAGGCCACCGTTGAGTGGTCTTATTTCTTGTAACGTTTTTATTTGGACTGGAACTCGTTGTGAAACGATAAGGTTTGTGCCTGAATGGAGTCTGCTTATGCCTCACACCGTGACTTTTGTCGCACCTGTTTGTCCATCAATCCTGCATTCCTTATTGGTTGTTCAATCGTTGCCTAATGTTGACCGACTTCGGCCTGTGGATTGAATGAATTGGTCTAGGGTCAGACGTTCCTCTTTGGCGTTATTCGTTCTGACCTCATGACCTGTTGTTGTGCAGTGGTTCCAAAGTTTTGACTTCCGGTCTGCGCGACGTAGTGCAAGTGTTTATTCGTGTAGGCGATTACATAGATTTGAAAAAACGAGTCGGTGAACAAACAATTGTTTAAGGATATTCCTAGTCATGCTCTTATATATCATATAGTGGAAAAAATTCTTACATAATCATAGCCGTTGGCTCATTTTAAAGTCAATATTCGGAAGTAGAGAGTAATGGGTGTGTGTTTGTGTGTGTGTGTGTATGTGGAAAGGTTAAACGTTTTGGTTGATGTGACCTTTCCCCACTTGGGTCAAATGACAGGTCATGTTCCGTCTTGGTTTTCACACACGACCAAGGCAATTGGAGGGCCTGCACCAATCGCTTTTGGGCACACAGGTCGGGGCCTAGTAAGCGAATTCGGCGGTTCGGTGGAATGTTAAACCATTATTTCTGCCCAAGGCTTTTGCAGTTTTCTATCGTTGTCTACATTTGTTGATTCAGTTAGCCAAAAGGGATGGATGTACCTGTTACCATTGCATCGTAAAATTATCACAACCTTGTATAAAAGTGACCCCGGCTTTATCCCACTTTGGGATATTCCAATTTCCACAATGCTTATATTTATCACTTATCTAATTTCAGCGAGTGCACAGTCCAATCACGGCACAAAATTTATGGAACTGGATTAGTAATAAGCCTGGGAACAAGGAAAGAGCCATGAGATTCAAAATAATGCAGCGAGATCCGTCTAGCACTTAGAAAATTCCCCCCAGCTTCCCTGGGATGTGCTTGGATACGTCAGCTAACACTTCCCATGACTGCCATTTACTTTGCTTACCATAATTCTTCTTTGCAGTCATAACGCATCTGGTGGTTGGTAGCATGTTGCGTACAATTTAAAGAAGACATGCTTGACGTAAGAAACATAATTGACTTGTTCGAAACCATACTATGGTCGTTATAACCCGTATACAGCCGGAAATGCAATGTAATAATTTTTCAAGTGGGGTATCATTAGCATTGACGTGCATCCCATACAAGAACACTAAAGCAATCAATCACCATCACCCGATATTTACATGGTATCTCATTTTTCTGAAGGAGAGATTGAAACGCCCTGCTTTTACATACAAATGTATCATATATATGAAATTGTTTTACTCGGCTGAACTATCGCGTTACTTGGCTTAGTTTTTACCATTTAGTTAACTATGTCACGGTTAGGTGAGACTAGAATGGTTGATTGCATTGAAGTTTTCGGCGACTATCATAACGGCCGTGCACCGAACTCTTTGGAATGATTGAGAAAGATCCCTGTAAATCTATTCTTGATTTCAGGTGTACTGAAATCGGTCGACGCATACATCGATAAGCCTAATAAGCATCGACGCTTCTTTCTTTAGCGGTTGACCCGTAATGAACGGTTGAGAAGTACAGTTCAGTTCAGTTCAGTTCTTACAACCATTAACCACGCGATTTCGTGCGCCGGTTTTAGTTGCTGTCTTTTGGTCGCCCATTTGGATCAAACAGAAGAATGAAGATTACAATTTTGAAAGCACATTTAAGCTGAAGATAGTGCATTTATATGGGCTGAAGTAACAAGAGTAATGAGTAGATGCATGAACGCCAATGTTGGCGACAGCCAGCCACATTGCTCAGCGTCTCTACCCAATGGTGACATTGATCTCGGGGTCCCCAGCCAGGGAGCCTAACGGAACCTATATGGGCCAGTCTCCTGGTTAGGGTTTTCATACCCTCATGCCAGATCCTCGTTTGACTGCTCTTGATCTTTTTCCAACCGCTACCTGTCTTGGCAAACATCACTCGCCGTGGCAACCTATCTAGTGACACGCGTAGTACATGTCCCAACCAGCGCAATCTATGAAGGTTGCCCACTTGCTCCAGTGGACGACCGCGACTGCCTAAAACTCTACGCCTAGCCTCAGCATTGCTAATCCGGTTTTCCCACCAGACTCGTACACTGCGATGTAGGCGTAAAGTGCACAGTCGGTTACTGACTGGAATCCAATCAAGAAGCAAGCGCTCAACCTTGGCACCCAATGTAATCCCGACACCAGAAACACCGTGAGCGTAAGATGCCGAGCCACCCGAAACAAGGAGAGTGAAGCGTGAAGATGAGGTTGGGTCAGGAAGACGCAAGGAGAAGATTGAAGGAGGGTCTTGTGTGCATGTTTCAGAGACAACATACGTCTAAATGGAATGTTTCAAGGGTTCTAGCTAAAGCAGCTTGTTGAACGATCTAGTTGAGTGTGCAAATGTTGAGCGCGCCTTTTGACTTCGAAACTTCAGATTGTTTGGCCCTACTGGTAAAACACTGAGTAATATTCGATAGGATTATTCGGGATTGAGACAAATAACTAGACAAGTGGGGAAAAGGCTTTTCTAAATGTGTACCTAAGACTTTGGGCACTGAGTCTTTGGCTCAAAAGTCCGACCTAAAAGGCAGTGGGGTGTAGATCCAACGGGAAGCGTGACCGAAGCATGCGTTTGCGAACTTCTAGGGACGTGTCACCCGACGCCTTTGGATCTCGGTTGAATGTGCCGTTCTCTGGTGCGTTGATTTTGGGTCCTTTGTTGAGTATTGTTCGTTAGCCGCGTGCAACGAATGAGAGAGGCGGAATGTGGACGGGACATCACCTTATGGCTGGGGTTTGCCCAGCTTGGGTGAGCGGTAGCTGTCCGATGAAGTGAGAAGACTTCTCTCACCGTCTAGAGTAAGTCCCAGATGCCTTGCTCCGAAGTCCATCTAACGGGGTTTTATTGATCGGTAAATTGCCCCTCACTGTGTTTATTTGAAGGACTGACCTCTACAGGGTCAAGAGTGGATAGTCACAGGAAAGCAGGAGATTCTCAAGCAGCTGGCCTTGTAAGATTGATTTTTTCTAGCCTCTACCCATTGACCTTTCAGGCATGATTGAATTTGTGGTAAAAGCCATCCGGTATACCTCGCAGGGTGATGGAGACACTCAAGCCGTCACACCACGTCGTGATGAATTAAGGTTGACAACCATTGCTGTTGAATGTTTTAAACAAATTTTACTAAAATGTGTTGTGAAATTCTACATCATATTTACCCATGGAGTACGAAACCGACTAGTATTCGTGGTGATTTAGATTAAGCTATTTGCTCCTGAATTTCTGTGTTATTTCGACCAATCACTTACTTTGAAGGATGTTTTCTTCACCGAGAACGCCCCGAAACACCTAAATCCAAGCGGTTCAAAGATAATGTTTCTCCAATTAACAAATTCTAATGTCAAATTAACCTTAAAACAACACACTGGTCACATTCGAAATCATCAATGTGGGAGCACTGACTGTTCCCACTCAATTTGTTTCCACTTGAAATTCTGTTCATGAAAAGACAGTAATCGTTAGCTATGACAAATACTACCCTATTTCATTGAAGCTTTTTTAATCTTTTGAATCCCTTAGTGGTTAGCTCCAACAAGTTGTATTAATCAGGCACTCTTACCATAGCATTCACCCCCGAGAGACCTTGGGATAAGTGTAGCTACCTCATCCCTGTTGAGGATAGTCAATAGTGCACATCCATCAATTACACCACGAATCAAACCTGGGCCCAAAACGTTGGTAATTCAGTGAGATATTCAAGTGGACTACATGGACAGGCTGTCAATAACTTTCTACACATCATAACTACCCAGTAAATAGGTATAGTCCTTCCAGAGATTTTCAATAACATATTGACTCTTCTGTATAAATACGTTTTGAGAATCATCTCATATTTATTTCTCTGATACTTCTTTTTTTAAGATTAATAACCGGTAAATGGTTTCAGATCAAACCATATCATGAGCAAAATAAAACCAACATCTTTCTCGTCTCTTATTTCACCTGCTTCCTATGAATGAACTCTAAATATTTTTAGCGAAAGGAATATTGACTCGGACGAATCCAGTGACGTGGCAAGAAAACTGACCGATCCTCGAATGGCACAGGCATGTTATCCACCCCGAAATCAACTACCCTTGGAGAGTTCAGAACTGAAGCCCAGTATCGCCTCCAGGAATAGGAGTGATTCTGATACCTCAATTGCCTCCGATATGGACATGGCGGTTTCAAACAGTCTTAGTGACGAATCTGCAGCTTATCCCCAGCCGAACGTGTCCACAGTGCTTCGTCGCCTCGCACGATGTATGACCGAAAGACTTACATGGAAGCGTCACCAGTTGGCTGACGCAGAACAGCGGGTGAACAGAAATTCCAGTGAACAAAAATGGGTTAGTTTCTTTCAGTACATTTCGATCCTCATTATACGCATGAATATCAGTTAAACAGATACTAACAGGAATTAATATATCTACTCAGTTTACGCACTGGACATCGTTTTTCGTGGGCTAACATTTTCTCTTTTATATTCTAAACACTAGCCTTGTTAATACTCTTTAAGTCAAACGATTCATCTTTTCCTCATTTTACACAGGAGCACAGTAGCTTGAATTTGCTTCGATCCAATCTTCATTTTGCTCTTTTATCCAAACGGGCAACCAAAAGACAGCAACCAAAACCCGCGCACGAATGTGCATGATTAATGGTTGTAAAAACTGAACTGAACTGATTGCGAAGATATACGCTTGTAGAAAGTGAAAACCTTTAACATCAAATAGAGGCATTTATCGCGATCCCATTTTTTATCGATTTTAAGGGACGAGTATGCAATATATTGAATATGATCACTATCTGTGGAATAAAGCATAAAAAAATCCAGTCCAGGCAGATATTTAAGTACTCATTATCTCAGTTAAGGCTGATTGGTGAAAATTGTACGCATATTTACCGATAGTGCTCTGTGTCGAGTAAAGTATGGACAGGAGATACGTCATTAACGGAACAGTAGAAGCATTCAATTTGCTTTCGAGCATGAATCAGGTACCGGATTACTAGTTCAGGTGAACTGAGCAACGCCTTATCATTGAGCGGTTTATCCCTTATACTCACGAGACTGCATGGTTTCGAATTATTGTTAGTTTTCTGATGAATACATACTCTGTGGAACATTTCCAAGAAATAAATCAAGCTGGTCAAATTTAAGGTTGATGGTTGGGCAAAATGAGCTATGTATATCGGTTGATAATCAAACAAGGTGTTTAATTGCAATTTAAAAACACCGGCTTGAAAGCCAGTGCTTTTAAATGCCTGTGGGAAGTACAATTCCATCAAGGAACTTAACCATGTGTTGTTACAAACGGACAGTGATGACAATGGATTCAGCTTGACAAAATATCTTTTACTTCCTGGAGAAAACTAGTTGTCTTTGAGTAATGCGTATAAGATATTCTCATCTTTATCAAGGTCTTTCATTCCTTAAAAGCATGATCTCATGAGGGAGCACAGATTGGTAATAAATTGCATTTGCACATCGGGTGTTCATTTCATGGGCCTCACGCTTCGTGTGAAAACATAAGAACACGCCTAGAAAATATCTAATATCTTTCAACATTAATTCAGAAGTTATTCGCATTTTGACGATCAAATGATTTCAAATTTTTCTTCGTGTGTGCATTGAGCACATCTACCGCTGTTCTCCTCCCAATCACCGAGCATACATCTATTGAATCCGGAATTAAGGAATCGAAAACATATGAAAATGTTAAATTTCAATGCAATACAAACCGGTATTTATTCCCTCCCGAAACTGACAACTTCCTCTCAGTTTCCTTACTCCACTGCCCTCTACGCATTTCACAATTAGTGAGCAGGTAGTATCTCACAGAGAAGGTGACTGGACAGAAAACGAGAATAAGAATGCAGTGGTTTAGTATGTGCCTAGCAGTCAGAAACGATTGCATACTCACTGGATGAGCAAAATGGAATGAGCAGCAATTAATCCTTTTCTCTTTAGATTTGAAAATCCTGTATCTATATAATAATCAAGTAATGAATTTCTTTAACCATCATTAGGGACCTCATTATCGTTTTCTTTTGCGTCTGTATCTTTGTATTACTAGCTAGTTGTGATCCCAGTTGTTATCCTCCGAGCTGCAACAACGTACCCCTTACATTTTCAGCTGGAATGGGAATTATTTAGTAATTTAGACTGCTACTGAAAATTATGCTTTGAAGGTATAGGTCAGGATTAATTTCATGGGTATTGGTGGAGAGCAGATCAGTGAGCTGCACAAAGGTTAATGAAGGCTATCACAATCACAAGTGAACCTCAGTTCTTGTTGTTGATATGAAAACGTCGTGAATTTGTTCGATACTATTTTATTGGTAACGTTATTCGCTCAGCAGATCTAATCCCTTTTATTATCTTTGAAATCGATTTTGATACTCATATACTCAATTTTTAGTATCAGTTATTTTGATAGCCCCAAAATCGGTGTCCTTCTGTTGATTAGAAGCAAATTGAGTGAAACATTATTAAGAAGTGTATATTTTGCCTACTGAAATAAGCTCTTTGTGTGGGGTTGTGTGGTTATTGATGAAAATTTAGCCGAATTACTACTGCAATAATACATGAGCCACGTATTGGACTCCCTACAGGGCAGTCCACTGCGAACATTTTATTGTGCGCCCAAGAAGTATTTATCCTGCTCTAACCTAATTTATTGAAACTGGATTTCATAAGTGTTTCCTAGTCACTAGTTTTCGGATCATCCTTTTGAAAAACGTTTTCGCAGTGACCTACTCTGTTTACACATAAATATCTGAGACCATATTGCGCTCCCTTGTATATTTATTTAATTTGACCACTACTCCAGTGGTAAATTATTAAAATATTGTATTGCTATCATTTTTAGTCATAGATAATAAATAATTCATACTCATTCCCAATTCAAATCTGTTGATTTTTAAAGCTTCGAAACAAACTGATTGAGCTGTTTACTGGAAGTGAGCACAATTCCTCAACAAATTTGTTTAGTCATTCACAAACCACTCTGGATGGAACAGAAACCCCGATTGGAAATGTGGTCGTTCGTTTCGATCGATGGCACAACAATACTCTGGAGGCAGTGAAGCTCCTGTGTCATTTGTCTCGCCGTTTAGCATATTTGGATGCTAGAATTAAGTGCCTTAATTGCCAGTCCCAACGTGATTTTCATTGGAGTGATCCGGATCCAAAACAGACAATGGTACGTTGCTTTGTTACTGATTTTAAACCTAAATGAAATCTAGTCAAGCTTGATCAAATCTAGATAGAAACCTGTTGTTCCTAGTAGGATTTCAATTGGAGTAAACAATTTGCCCATTTTTTTCTCCTTTCGTTACCGTCCGACTCAATTAACCAAATGGAAATCATTGAAGATGACATGTGAACCAACTCATAATTTTCACTATTATCACCAAACTGTAGGTAGAGGGGTAAAATGCATGCCTTTCACGCCAAGATTCTGGAAATCAGATCCCGGACTGGTTGCTGAATATGCACCACTGATGTGCTCTAAGATATATATATATCCAACAAGAAGTTAATCGGCATTAAATTGTACTTCTCCATGAATTATTACATAACTGAGAGGCCATAATACCAAATCATGTTTTATTGAAATCACAGTAGCATTGGACGAGAACCCGTTAACGGCTTAAATCAAATAAGATGAAAAGACCATAAGCACGGAATAATCAGATCGTGCAGTGTACTGCACGATCTATACCAAAAGCGTGACGTTTTTCGGTTACAGAAACCCAGCTTTCTTCTATGTACAATTATGACCTTTAATTTTGCACCAATAAAACGAAGTGAAAATAAGAACGAATTTAATTGCTCCTGCCTAAATGAGCCTAATTTTTAGGTAACAGGAACTTCCCAAAGGTATGAGCCCTATTCATGTGATCTAGGAAAGAGACTACTAAAGTGAATTCCGAAAACAGACGACGTTCTTTCGATCACTTTTTAATCACTCATTTCGCTTGTCATACAAATTTCAAGAAAAGTAAAGCTATTCCGGATTAAGTTATCAGTCACTGAAATGTTCTTCCTGCTACAAACACCACTATAAACACTTCTGTCTTCTCAACTGGACTGACGACAGACAGGCAATGGACCTGTATAGAACTCTGTAACCTCATCACATTCAAGCGTTTGTTTTCCATTCAAAAGGCAAAAGATAAATCTGAAAGGTCATACATGGGAACATCTTTAATATCATTATTTCCTAAATGTAATTGATTTGGCATGCAGTTGTGTTTTGCATGCACGTTTTAAACTCCACTGAAGGTGGGTCGTCAACAAATGTGGGATTTAGGACTTCAGTGCTGGGGTTCTATCAAACGAACTAGTCTATACTGAACCGCCGGTCCACATCACCTGTTAGCTACTAGCCAATGACAAATTCCCGTTAGAGTCCCTATGTTAACCACAATTCTGCTGAAAAACGAACATGATTGTATTCAGTTGTTGTTCTTAATCACTTTAACTCGGCGCAGCAGATTGGTACAGACTAAAAACCAAAGTTTCATTCTGCAGTTTTGTGCTATTTAGACCATGGTTGACACTTAGTTCACTTTCAGAGAAAAAATGCAGTGAGTACCGATCTTTCGGTGACCCCTTCAATCTGTCTTTTTATCCGTATGTCATTTTGTGAAGATTGTATTTGTTGCAGAATAACGAAGTAGTTGTACTTGCCAGAAATATTTTGTGAAGATCAGTAGAACTCAAAGCAAACTAAGCAATTATTCAGGCTTGTGCTTATCATCTATGCGACATAGCTTGACAAATTTCCGTAGGAATTGCCTAGGTACGTTGAGGAACAGCCCATCTCCTCGTCCAATACTAAAAATTTATTCGTTTCTTATCGAGCCTTGTTGTAACATTCGACACTAGAACCCTTCTATTATTAATTAAATCAATCATTTGCATATTCCACATAGTTAAACTGATTTGATTTGTTACTGATGACTGCATTCGAACGGATAAAAGTTGACAAACAATTCAGTGAAACGAAAATCGATGGTACGACGGTACGTCAGTATCAAATTGATTCTTTGTCCATGTTTGGTACAATCAGCGGAATAAAGCTGCATTCACTTACCAGAGTGAAGCATTAATTTTAAAAAAGGAAACGGACATTATTGGACGTTCAAACTGAAATGTTCGCAACTCCCTCACCCAACTATGGTCAGTTATCACCTCCTTTTCGAATTCGATATACTCTCACAGGAATTTTTGTAACTCTGGATTGTCTATTATATTACAAAACGAAATATGCGGTCGATATTTTGATTTTGGTGAACTTATTAAAATGCTGCGTTTCATTCTTTACACTGTATCTTAAAATCACTGTTCCATTTCCATTAGTTTATCACTGTACAAGAAAAAGAAAACACAGATATACGAAAATTTGTCAAAATTTGTGCATGTAATGGGTTAACTAGTGCAAAGTTCTGAAAATGGTTGCAAGTAAAAGATGAGCGTACATAAGCTCTCTCTTTTGTTCTTAGCTGGTGTTCCTGCATGACAACCAAGCCCCAATTGATCCGAAATATCCCCACTACGTGAACTGAAATCACGCTACCGAATAAACCACAAAATCAAGACAACAATTGAGAAATCAATCTTTGGTTGCCTTAAGAACATAAGTTTCAACGTCCTCTGTCTGAGCGAATCTTAGTGGTCTACCATGTCCTCATCCTCAATAACGCATTTGAAATGTCTGCGAATGTCGCACAAACCTAACGCAATGAACATTGGGGATCAACGAAGTCGCTTTCAAAATTTATTGTTCCAATAACTGCGTTCATCATTCTTTTTGAGTGATTACTCCTTCAGGATTCCCTTGAAGGAGACTGAGATAATTAGCGCTCAAATCTCGCTTGACTTCGTTACACATATAGTCAATATGATTGAGCATTAGCATGGTAGCATCCTCAGCAGCTTTGCCTCACTGCACTCAATCTCAGTGCATACCTCCTTCAATCTGTTGTGGCAAGGAGCATTGTCACACAGGACAATGATCTGCTTAATGGGTACTGTTTGCTGTAGCTGATCAAGAGCACATCACACCCACTACGTGCAGTCTTCCCACCGATATCCTCCACGTTTGGTTTTGCACGATATCATTCTCGATTCAGCCATGGCACCTATTAGATGCTGCATACGGGAAAGCATGAACATGTACGTTTGGTAGACTGACCCATTGCCTTAATTCGAAACAAGTTGAAGTTCGTTTCATCAATCCAACAAATGCAAATGGTCTACTTCAAATATTTGAAGAGCATATCGTAGGTAGATCACTTTTTCTTCACATTGTTCATGCTAGATGGAATGAAATGAAGATTGTTAATAGTTATTAGCCGGCAATATAAATAACCATCACCTACAAGACACCTTAAACTCTGCTTTGATTCGAATCGTCAAAAGTTTGAATGGAACTGTGGGGACTTTTTCTAGGTAGGTGTTCAGCTCATCGATCTCCGTTTCATTTTTCCCTTCCTCCGCCTTTCAGTTGGCATTTATAATACAGTTCATTAGCGTTAATCTAATTGTAAGCGGTCCTATACTTCACGCCATCGTGTTTCGCAACCGTACACCAGTCCTGCCCTTTTCGAAAACCAGAACGATCAGCTTGCACACTCCATCATCACCACGGTTGTGCCAGCCTCGGAGGATCGTGAAGAGAAATGAGTGGAAATGGACAAACAACGTTTGTTTCAAAGTTGAATTCGTCATGTATAAAGCAAACAAAGCGTGAACTGTAAAGCTGAGAGGCATTGGACAGATGTTTCGACCTAGTTGGGTCTCATCAGCAGTGCGAATCCATCGATCCCAGTGGAAAACGAACCCGGGACCTTACAGGTAGAACGCAAACATGCTACCCACTCGGCCACCGGGCAGCTGATAAGACCTTTTTCATTTTCCGTTTACATCATACAGCGCAACCCATCTTTGCGAGCTTGTTGCGGCCCCAGACCTCACTGGCCTCCGGGTTATGACTCAGTTGAAATCATTCACAACTTGACCCTTTATTTCATGTGAGTAATGGAGGATTGGATTCAATTTCAAAGGTAAATTCGTCGTGTATATAACATGCTTGAGTTCTGCTTGTGAGGTCCCGGGTTTGATCCCCAGTTGGGTCGTTGGATTCACACTGCTGATGAGACCCAAGCAGGTCAAAACAGCTGTCTAGTGCTTCGCAGATTTTCAGTTGACACCTCATTTGCCATATCCGCGGTGACTTTCTCCTTTGATCCCCCGTTACATTATATATATAGAGAGAGAGTACTGATGTTTCTAAATGCGGTACTTCACAAGACTTCAAACCATTTATTCATCCATATCTATATATGTTGTTTCTCATTTACCATTACAAAAGTATTGATAAGAGGAATATTCTGTTATCCATTTCGCCTTGATCAACATATTTATTGATTCATGAGAATGACAGTGAACAGCGTCTCCAAAATGACTCGGCCGCATTATTTTATCTCAATTTAGGAGGAACTTAAAAATCGACAACACCACTTACAAGAACAAATAAAAGAAGCACAGGATTTGCGTGTAAACCAAGAAAATTGTCGTTTGCGATTGCTTGAGAGCATTCCGCCGGGTTTGAGACTGACTGAATCTTGGTCTGTTTTCGGAACACATTGTTTATCCACTCCTTCCGTGATACCGAATGGTAACTCGGAGGAGAAAACAACAGCTGATGACACAGTCACTTCCCCAGCCAAAATGGATCAGAACTATCTCGTCCCCGTTCTCCTGCGTGATCGAATTTCCTTGCACCTGGCTACTACAATGCAATGGCTTGTGACCTACCACGTAAGTAATCCAATATAAATTTCTCCAATTTTGAAAGTATTTCTACCAAGACGACCCTATCTTCATCAGCATTTACAATACGATATCTTTTTTCTTATTTTAACCTAAGTATATTTGATCAGAACCATCCCCGCTGCCTGATAAGAGAAAAAAATAACCAACAGCTTTTCTCCACTCGCTATCTTATGTATATATATATATCCAAAATCTTTACACATGGCACAGAAAACCAAAGATTGAAGAGAAATACAAAAATAGAAGAGAGAAAACTAGACCAATGAAGACAAATTTTCCCGACCCTTAGGACAAGGAAACGGGAGAATGACCGTCGCATAATGAATCTGTTGCTTGTGATTCTATATACGCGTTTTAAGTAATCTCTTAGTGTTTTAACAGTAGGATTATCTAACTAGTCTAAAACTGTCACCAATTGAAATACAGGAATAAAACTTGAATGAGGATTGAAATTAAACTACGTTTTAATGGTCAAGGGGTGCATGAAAGTACGTAATATTATCTCATACATTATTTGGATAAAAGACTTTACTAAATTCATATCTGACCACGTTTCTTTCAATAATAGTGAAGCTGAGCATAGTAATAAGTAATAAGCAACAAATGTGTGTTTCCGTCTTATGGTCATTTTGTTTGCATTAACCTGTCCAAAAAACAGTTATTCATAATCTTTCGTGTTTTGATTCCTAGTTTAGTTCAGTATCCTTGGCTAGTCTCCATAGGAAAACAGGTCATCGAAGAAGCAAAAACAGTGGCACTGCTTTTCAACTGGCTACTTTAAATATGCAATAATGAGGAAACTTCTTCTTGGTGTATGGCCGCCAAAGCAAAATTGATTCAAAAGCGTACCTGATGGGTTCAACTCTAAAATGAAATAGGGAAGGTTTTCAATTATTGTTATTTTATGTTCAACTGAACACTCTAAACGAAATGTTTTTTTTTTGAATAACTTCGTCCTTAAACTTTGATGTTCATTTGCTTTTTGTTATGATGGATGTGACGCGGTTACAGAATTTTTATTCCAGGATGTTATGCCTTGATTATTTGTATTTCTCAAAGGCATCTATTCTTTTGACTGAGAGTTGTGTTCCATCGGCATGAAAAATGTCTTTCTGAACAACGCAACGTCTATCCTCAGGTACAAATTGTCACATACTTTATTAGAATCGCTTCAACTTTATGACCGGATTTTCAATTCATCTATTTTTCAAAGGTTTTGGAAACAGAAATATTTGTGGACCAAGAAATCTGCGACAGTATTCAGGATCAGCAAAGACTCGTGGTAACATACTGACCGTCACTGTAGTCATTTCTAGGGAACCAACTGGAATGAAGAAGCCCCACAGAGCACATCAAAAGATGAATACCCTCTGCTGACTTTCAAAGTCACTTGACAAAAATTCGAGTTCACTGCAACTTGTTTATTGCAGAATAGATGAACAGGTAACCGGATTGTGTCCATTGCCATGTGTTGCTTAATATTCAGTATGACGGTTTTCCGTTTGAATCTTCAAGCTTCTGCAAGCTTTTCGACTTCTACGTGGTCATGATCAATGTGTGAGCTACTAGCTCAAGTTTCCCGTGTATTATGTTACCCCTGTGGCTCATCGCCACCAATTATCCCCACTTTCATTCCCGCTGTTATCCCCAAAATCATTGTCATCCGTTTAATTATGACTTGAGAAAATGTTTTTAATAAATGCATCTACACGTTTGTGCAGATTTATGCCGTTTGCGATTTTGGTCCTCTCTCCTACACTCACTCAAATTGTTCTTTGACCTCCTTTCCATTTATTTCTCTTTTTTATCGTTTCGCTACCCCTGAATTCCCATTTTCTTCGAATAACTCCATTTGCCTGCGGGTTTTGCCAATGTGTGAACGAATGAACCATTTCGCGAATGGTTGGGTGAATGGGAATGCTTAAATCGTAACCAATCTGTCTGAGATTCGCGCAAGCAATAAAATTCGTTCCTCTATACATTATTTCTGAATTCAGAAATCAGGTTGAGGACAAAATTCTGATTATTATCAACAAACGATTATCTCCCAATTTCAAGATATACCTATGGAAGACTGTTTGCGGATCACCTATGAATAGTAATCTCCGGTATGCGTACGATGCCCTTTCCATATGATTGATCACATTTTGAATAAAACATTTTGTTATGATTAATCTGAAATCCCTGTTGAAACAGCCATATTCATACGATGGAAACAAGCAAAGACACAATGATGAGCCAAGGTGAGGAACTTGAGTGGTTGAATTATTTACAATTTCAAGCTTGGTCGTTAATCATGGCATTTAGTTGTCGACTGAATTCTTTTCGTCGTTGGATTGTTATTACTCAATGAAACAATAAACATGAAATCAAAGTTATTGATCATGTATCAACAACTGTTTGTTTTGCAGCAGTATTACAAGTGACCTCCATCGACTGACGTTTTGCAGTGCCTGGAAAATTGGCAGTATAGATTGGTTGGTGAGCTAGTTCAATGAGAGATGTGCACTTACTTTACAGAAAGAAACTGCTCATTAATTGCGAGTATGATCAGGCTAAGAAAGCCACACAAAAAATCGTCTGCACGATATAGTTATTCAATTAGTAATTGCATAGTAAGTAGCAAAATAAAATCCCATTGAGCGTAATAAAACCGAAAATGCATTTGCAATGCCTGCAATGTAAAATCTGTTATGTGGGGACAACTCGCAAATGAATGTCTTATAAAAATCTTTAGCGGGAAGAAACCAAAATTGAAAACCAGAAACCTTTGACAAACTAATGGCGGGAATCCCAAAAGAACTCAAACGACAAGCCATAATTTCAACTGATGGAAGTATGAAATTGTGAAAACACTATATTTATATGTATCAATTTTATTAACCAATTGCTGTTATGTACATGTTTCAAGCCGACTCCATTGAGAACATGTAGCCAGTGCATAAAAATAATGTAGAATGTAACAGAAATCAGATAAGTAGGTAGGTAGGCAAGTAAGTATGTAGAGAGGTAGATAGGCAGGTATGCGGAACGAAAAAAAACTGACTGATACATAAAGATAGCATGAAAAATGGATTATGAGATAGACAGGTGAATAGAAGAATATGGACAGGGATGATAGAGAGACAACTGAATAGATGGATACATAAGCAGACAGACAGACATCGATAGACATAAACAGATGGATAGATACAGAGATACAAAGACAGCGAGAAAAAACATAGAAAGATAGATAAACATACACATCGACAAATAGATATAAACAAAGACTGATTCATTGAAGGAGTCAAAAAAGACAGATAAAAAGATGGATAGATAGATGGATAAAGATATATAGACCGAAAGAAAGAAAGTTAGACAGACTCATACATAGCAAAATAGATACAAAGGTAGATAGGTAGATAGTAAGGTAGATAGATGCATAGATAGATACTTACGTGGACAGAAACTGGACAGATGGATTGATACAAAGACCGACAGTTGGATAGAAACAGAGGAAGAAAGTTAGATTGAGAAATGCATAGACAGATAATCGGAGTGTTAGACCAATATGTACAGAGATAAATGGATACACGGATAGACACGAACATATAAATTGTAAGGAAGATTCATAAAATAAGATCCAGATAGATAGAGATAAAAACAAAAAGAAAGAAAGTAGAATACATCGATAGATAAATAGTTGGATACAGAGACGGAACAACGGAGAAATGGTTAAAACAAAAGCAAGAAAAGTAAAAAAGGACCGAAAGAAAAAACAAAAGTCAATTCATAGACATATGAACAAATAAAAAGATAGAAAAATCGATAAATGGCGAGATGGAGTGGTACACGTGTAGACAGATAGATAGATAAATAGATAGATAGATAGATAGATAGATAGATAGATAGATAG